GCTCCTACCTGACCCATTGTTCCCAAAAACTTGCTTTTAACCTTGAGTGTAACCATCATTGTGTATATGCATTTACTATCTTTGTATACTGCTTAAACTTTTACAAAACATTTTGTTAATTAACTTTTGGACTGTATTAATAAAACTGCGAGGTTTTCTTACGTCGTACTCTTTTTACCCTTAGCAGTTTCTTTTGCGAGAATACGACACCTTTTGGTTTTGCTTGTTTTGTTTATATTAATGTACCTACATCAACTAAATTTCCGGGCTTTCACAATCTTAATAATTACGATCATTATTGAACAAACTTTTCACAATTTGAGTGTTTTATTTTACGTTCCTTTCCTACTGTGCTTCAGGTCAAAGCGTTGCCTACAACTAACGTAAGGGGGCTCTGGCTTAGATGTTTGATCACGTGCTACTTTTCAAATTTAAGCGGGATCTTGTTTAGTTTTGGAGGGAATAGTCATTTGGATGGCCATTTTTAAACGTTGCCGGGTTGACTTTATTTCCGCGTTCTTGTAGTGTGAAGTTTGCGTAGAACCTGGGGGTTAAGTACACTACATTGTGTACCAGGCCACCTATGACTGGCGTGGATCTTGGCACCGTAAGCGATAGTGGCAGTTTAAAAATGCAGATGATACCGGAATGAATTTTAATATGACGTGGTTATGGGTTTTTGGTTCCCTCTGGAGGGTCTTCAAACCATGTCGTTTCGCCGCAGTGAAAGCAACATTATGGAAACCTCTATCCCCGTTTTAAATTGAGAGCTGGGTCCTTTTAAAGACGCCGCATGCCACTTTTTCGTCCTTCAAGGCCCGCTAAAGTAAAAAGAACACAATACGTGGGCGAGCATTTTATTATAGATAGCTGAAGTTAGGCCACAGGGCGGTTTGTGCGGTTTAGGGTCTGGAGTTGAATTTTTTTTTATCGTACAGTTTTTTTTAAATTGGGTTGTGCAACATGTCCAGGTCCGCACAATTTGGAGGGATTTCCTAATTTTTTTTGATTTTGTACGTCGGCGAGTGGTTCCTGAATATGGTCCTGACTTTGTAAATTCGTGTGAAAGCTTAAGGCGACGAGAAGTCATGGAATTGGCGCATTACAGGAAGTTTTTTTACTTTGCATCCGTCGTTATTAAGCTTGCTACGTAGCGTGGATTCTGCAGATTTTTTCCACGTGGAGTTGCGTTAAAGGTACTGATTGGGCGTAAAATTAGTTTCTATTGGTGAAAACAGTTGCGCGCCCTAGAATGGGCGTCAATCAAACAGAAAAGTAGTGGGAATTTAGTAATTCGGAGTGTTAGGCAATTGACATTGAGCTGCGAGGCAATTCACGTCCAACATCGAGAGGTAATTAGTGCGAAGCTGTAAGCGAACTTAAGTCGGTTACCCGTAGATCAGCGCGGAGTGTTTTCTTATTACTATATTATATTCCCGGTTGAGAAAGTATCACCGTAAATACCAACACTAGTGGAAATTTTAACCCATAAATATAAAAAATGGCGTCACTTTAAGGCTGGACACCACACCTGTTCTGTTGCGTCTGAAAACGCTTGATTTTGTTCCACGATATCTGATTTCTGAACGAAGATGCAGAAGAGGTCGAATGTTCCTATGAAAGGTGAATGGTTTAGTTAGACAATAACGCCGGGGTTTATTAAAATGTTTTGAAATAATCTTTTTTTAGAGGCAAGGTCGAGGGCTGTTAGGGTGTCATATTTTGAAATCGAAAAGGGGCAACAAATTTTCCTGGCGTTATTGCCTGGACAACTTTACATACTCCTTCTGAAATAAAAATCATGTACTGTCCCCCTTAAATAAAAGAGACGGAATATTATTGCGAAATACGAACAATAGAGGAGTAATATTCAACGCGCGAAAATAAACCAACATGATATTCTAAAGGTTAATGAATCTATTAAATTACATGTCGTAATTCGCCGCCTGTCTGCAGTGGTTGATCGTGCGTAGATAACTTATTATAACGCAAATATAGGGGGCACTGATTACACCGTGACTTATTACAGAATCATCCAAAACATGATGCTGGCCACTTTTTGTTTGGGCGTTAGGTCCGTTTCTACACTTTGTTGCTGTACCGAAAGATGAAGGATTAGACTAGCTTGTAACGATTTCTTTTCTCCATTACAAAGCATTACTAGCGTTCACGGTTTATTACTTGTTGAAAGATCGTCGTAACGTTTGAAAAGATGGCTCCCTCTATTGTTGGAATTTTAACAACGCGATTTTACCGCGCAGTGCGTGTTGATTTTCACCGCCTTTCTGTCGAGAACCGTATCGTTTTGCACAAACAGCCGACAGCGTAAGTTAGAACGCATGGAATTTTAATTGCCATCATCCATATTTATTAATCTCTGGCGATTGGATTCATTAAATTGGGGATTTCGCAGTAATTAAAACGGATTCACCTATAACTCCTATAGTATTTTATTTGCGTTTTTTCTGTCTTGTAAGTAACGCCATTTCAATTTTGCCTAATTGAAGTGTACCATTCTTTAGGTTCGGCTGATATTATTTTGTGTACTAGAATTTTTCCATCGACAATTGTTGCTTTATCTACAATTAGCCCTCTTATTTAAGAGATATGTACATTTTATGACATCAACGAAGGAGGGGTGTTTTGTATTAGTTTTAATTATACAAAATACGTTTTTCTACAACTGTCAAAAAAACCTGTCATTTTCTGACGGATTTCGAAACGCGAAGTACTAGATTTTTAAACGGTTAATTAATAGGTAAGGTTGCTATTGACAACGTGCGCGAAATCGTCAACAGTGA